GTCCATTCCCAAACTCGCGTTGTGATTTGTCACTGCAACAGCAGCAAAAAGGCAAAGGTCTGCCCTCATGAGTGAACTAATGCCATTATCCATTATCATGAAGCACATTCACCCCCTCTTGGTCTCTCTAGCCCTCTCCATGCACCATGTGATGCCTTCTATCATGTTATGACACAGCAGGATGATGCTAGCCTGATGCCAGCACCTTGCTTACAGACTTCCCCAGCCTCTAGATCTATTTGCCTAATAAATCTCTGTTCATTATAAATTACTCAGTCTGTGATATTTTCTTAGAGTAGCTGTTGCTCTAACAAATGCCTGAAAATAGTAATGGCAGTGGCCTTGGAAGCGGGTGATAGACAGAAGCTGGGACAATTCTGAAGTGCATGCTGGAGAGAGCCTATATTACCATGAATGAAGCATTAAGGACAATGCTTAATGGGTTGGACTCAAGAAGGAGAGCTGTAGGCAAAGTCTGAATCTTCTTAGAGACTGCTTAAGTGGTGGTGAGTAGAGTGTTGATACAAATCTGGACAGTAAAGGCCAGGCCGATAAGGTCTCAGCTGGAAATAACGAACGCCATCCTCATCACAAGAGAACTTTCCCAAGGGCTCTGTGAAAGGGAGAATTTAAGAGGATACCTGGTAGAAGAACTCTCTAAGCAGCAAAGCAGTCCGGCTTCTGGGTATCTTAACACCTTCCTGTTAACCTGAACCACCAGTGGTACATGCACAGCTCTCCCATTGGGCAGCTTGTACTACTGGTGGTAGAAGTGGTACAGTCACGCACAGGACAATCATGTATGTACCACCAGTGGTTCAAGGTACCTAGCAGTAAGACATATGAATTACAGCTCCATTGTGAACATGTTAGCCACAGAGAGTAAAATGTGAGTGGAGGGAAATGCTTTAAAGATGATCTTAATAATTCAAGGGACTGAAAGATGAGGAAAATTTGCAATCTGGTCATGTAAGAAATGAAACAGCATCTGCACATCTATGAGACAGCAAAACAAAGGTGGGGCCAAGCAGCCATTTTGCTATAGGGATGAGTGTGGCTAGAAAGGAGCCTGGTGCTACCTGCTCTACCCAAGCATCTGCTCCCTATATTCGTGGCAGCCTATACTCCTGGTGGCCAGCTGTGGCTTGGGCAAGTCTGGGTAGGTCCAGTGCTGTGGCCCCAGAGGCCATAGCTGTGTGATAGAATTCCTGTGGGGCTACCTTGCAGGCCTGCAGACCTCAGAGCTATGGAGCCAGGGCTTTCTTCATCTAGATCTCAAAGAATACTGCAGGCAAAGAGACCCCATCATAGGACACGGCTACTGGACAGCTTTGCAGAGCTACAGGAAAGGACAGCTTCCATGACCCTGACTATAGAGCTACCAGTGTGCACCAGCACCCCAGGGAGCTGCAGAGATGAGGCTCCAAGCTGTGCAACTGTTTCCCAGGCTGTGCCCAGCAAAGACCCATTGTGGGCTGCTCAAAGCCCTGGGGGCCCAATCCCTGCCCATTGGGTCCAGGAGGCGGGAAGTAAGAGTCAAGGAAGGTTATTCTGAGAACCTCAAGATGTAAAGTTGTTCACCCTAGTGGGTGTTGGACTTACTCAGGACCAGTACCCCTTCCTTCTTGCCTACTTCTCCTTTGGAAGGCAGCGTCCATCCCATGCCTGTCCCACCATAGCATCTTGAATGTGCATAATTTGCATAGCTTCCTGCTGCATAGCTGGAGAGCAATCTGCCTTGGAATGCAGCCTGCCTGGGTCTCACGCATACCAGATTCACGTTGAGAGACTCTCGACTTTGGGCTTTTGTGTGGGTCTGGAATGAGTTAAAACTTTGGGGGGTACTGGGTGGAATGAGTGCATTTTGTACGAGAGAAGGGGGGCAGCAAAGACAGGATGCTGTGGCTTAGATGTCCCCTCCCAAACCCATGCTGGAATTTACCTGTTACTATAACAGGATTAACAGGCAGGAGATTAAGCAGCATTTAGGCCATATGGGCTCCCCATCACGGCTGGACTAATTCGTTTCATGGGAGATCTGCCCAGCCCCCTACCTCGGGCCCTTCTCCTATCCTTCCGCTGTGTGATGCCTTCTGTCACACTAGGATACAACAAGGACACTAGCCCTGGAGCTTAGACTTCCCAGCCTCCAGAACTGCAGGTCAATATATTTCTGGTCATTATAAATTCCCCAGTCTCTGGTATTTTATTATAGCAGCACAAGCTAGGTAAGACACTCCCCAGTAGCTTCCTCCTTTAGAGACTCGATGTTTTGACCACAGTCTCCCAGCTCTGACCTCATCTGGCCCTTGCTCACCTTGCTCTGAATCTCAGGCACGACAGCCTTCTTTCAGTTCCTCCCACAGGACACGCCCACGTTCACCTTGAGGCCTTTCCTTCTCCGGGGATGCCCGTGTGCCCCTTCATATGCCTTGGGTGATGCTGCCCCTCAGAGAGGCCTTCCAGGACCACCTCACCTGTCCCCATGGCCTTACTTTGCTTTCGTTCTTCAGGCCGTGATAAGACACGGCCACTGGTGTACTTACACTGTCTCCCTCTGCTAGCAGGTCAACTGCACCGGGACAGGGACTTCACCTGTCACTGCTGAATCTCCAGTGCCCGGCACACAGTAATGCTCCAAAAATGGACACGGAGTGTTAAAAGTTGAACTGGGTCCCCGAGAATTTCTATGCCAATGTCCCAGCTTCCAGACCTCAGAACGTGACCTTATTTGGGAACAGGATCACTACAGATGCAATTAGCTAAGATGAGGTCACACGGGGGGAGCTGGGCCCCTACTCCTATGGCTGGGGTCCCTGTAAAAGGGGACACTTGGACACATACTCAGGGAGAATGCCCCACGCAGGCTGGGGTGCTCTGCCACAGGCCTGGGACCTACCAGAAGCTCCGAGCAAGGCTGGGCCAGACCCCCTTCCCAGCACCCTCGGAGGCTTCCTGGCCCTGCACACACCTTGATCTTGAACTTCTGACCTCCTCAGAGTGAGACAATGAATTCTTATTGTTCTGCGCCACCAGCTCGTGGCCCTTGCTACAGCAGCCCCAGAAATGGATGCACTGTGTTCACAAGGTCTCCAACTCCAGAGCAGCCACCCGAGACCGTCTCTCACCTGTCCTGAATGTCATGCTCCCTCTCTTTGCTGCAACCCAACTCCACAGCTCAGCACACGAAGCCCTTCATTCTGACCCCACTAAAGCTTCCAGACTCACCTCAGGGCTCCCCCAAGTATCCTGCACCTATGGAGGCTGCTGACTTTTACCAGGATACCTCGCTCTTGACCATATTTCAAGACCACTAAGCCCACTGTCCCTGCTGCTTGGAATGTACCTTCCGACGAATCCTTTCTGAACACTCCTATACATCCTTCAATACCCTGCTCAAAAGATCTCCTCAGGGAAGCCTTCCCCAACACTCCTCACTCCTCGGAATGCACTGCACTTCTTGGTCAGCCACATAGGCTGTGTCAGTTGCTCAGGGTCTGCCTGTGTCCAGCTCTGGCCTGGCCAACAGGCATCAAGCTCCAAGACAGGCGGGCTCATCAATGCCCAGCACAGGCCCGACTAGGGTGCATGCACACCTGCGGAGGGGGGTGCTTGTTTGATAAATGACAGGATGAAGTGTAACAAGACCCTGAGGTTTTACTGTTTGTGTCACACACTCACTGAGTCCCCAAATGCTAACTGTACCTGGAGTGTGCATGAAACCCCGCTCCCACCTGCAGCCTTCCCAGCTGCAGCACCTGCTCTCCCAAGGGCTTCATGTTTCCACCTGGGACCCTCCCTCACGCTCTGCCCAGTGGCTTTGACACAGAAAGCAAGGAAGACGCTGTATTTTCCAAGGACCCTGTCTTCTATCCCCCTCCTCGCCGTCCCCAGCTCAACATAAAAACCCACTACCAAGAGAGCCCAGAGCCCAGCATGGTGCCCGGCACACCACAGTACTCAGTAAGTGCCGCGTGAACAGGAAGGCCCACACCCGGACAGCCTCCACGGCCACCCCCACGGTGCCCAGGCAGATGTCCCACGTAGGCTTAAGCACTGCGTCCCTCTGCGGGGGACCCAAGCCCCCTGATGGGTGAGGACCAGGTGCCTGGACCCCCCATCCGGTCTCCTGAGTCCCGGGCAGATGGGAGGGCGGAGTCAGCAGCCTCCCTGTGTAGCAAAGGGACAGAAGTTGAGGTTCCTGCTCCTGGTGTGTTCCTGGTGCGTTCTCAGCGCTCCAGTGGGGGCCAGCGGACACGTTAAGGTTGGCTAATGCCATTACTACCCCAGCTCCCACTGCCCCCCGGAGGGTGAAGCAAAACAGAGGGCCCCTTTCCAGTGCCCCTTGGGCACCAGGGAGAAGCGGGAAACTGATGCTTCCAGATGCCCTGGAGCTCCCCCAGCCACACTCAGCAGGTGGCTGGCAGCTCAGAGGCCCTGGCTGCCCACACCACACTCAGAGCCGGCCCCAGCTCCACAGCACCCTGCAGAAGCGACCCATTTTCCCGCGCAGGAAGGGAGGAGGCCAAGTACAAAGAACCAGGCACCTGTGCACATCCATTTCCAGCATCCGGTTATCAGAGCAAAGTCTGCGGCTAAACACCTGGGCTCCACACCATGGCCGCAGGGGGTCCTCACAGCAGCCCAGAATACAGGTGTGCAAAGGGAACCCACCCACGCTTCTCACGTTCCAAGGGGTAGAAGCGAGACATCCATCAGTGCTCACAATCTACAAGCTCCCAGGGGCCACTGCTCAGGGCTGCAGGGAGCTTGGGGTGACCATCATGCAACAAGCCTGACCTCCATGGCAACCTGATGTAACAAAGAGAGCACTGGACCGGGTTCCAGAGGCTCGGATCCAACTCCCAACCCAGGTGCCGTCACGATGGGTTCTGGCGCTTTCCCTGTCTGGTCTGTTTCCCCTCCTGTTCACACCTTTCCGCTTGGCCAGGACTCTGGATCAGGGTTTCTGGGCCGCTTTCCCTGGACCCCTAACTCACTTGCTGCAACCTGAGGCCGTCTCCCCAAGTGGGTCCTGGCTCCAAAGACTTGCTGGCATCCGGGGACAAGCGACTCAGCCACCTGGGCAGAGCTGGACAGAGGGGCAGAGGCGGTGGTCTGCGATAGCAGAGCCTTCGGGGTGCGGCTTCGAGCTGTCGGTAGGAGGAGGGCTCCTTAACAAAGCAGGGCACCCTGAGCACCCGTTGCAGTCGAAGGCACCTACCGTGCGACTTCAAGTGGCACTTGGAGAGGACGCACCGAGGACAGGGACCTCGGGCCAAGCTGGGCTGGGCGTCCCGGGGAGCCAGTGGGGCTCGCTCCTGTCCCGGGAACCAATTAGGACTCAGGGTTCCTGGGGGTGGGAACGCAGCGGGGACCGCGCAGGGGACTGAGCTCTCGATCGCACATGCGCAGGTCGGCGACCCCGCCCCCGCGCCCCCTCCCCGCTCCCCCTTCCCATTTTCCCCCAGTGCTACTGACCATAGTGAACGGAGCTGTGGGACCGCGTCCCGCCCCAGCGAGGAGTGATCTGGTGCCAGAAGGTACCACGAGAGGCGCCGGTCGGCTCCACTGTGGGGTCGGGCGGCGTGGGCCTCGAGGGCGTGGGGTGTGCGGAGAATACACCCGACCGCTCCGCAAACCAAAGGCTAGACCTCCACTGTGTCCCAGCAAGACACACGCCCCGCGATTGGCGTGGGCAGCGAGCAATCAGAGGCCGGGCCGCAGGACGTCACAGAAAGTGGGTGGGACTTCAAGCAGTTTCAGCCTATGTTTTAGGATATATTTGACAGGGTACCGCCCCTTTTTAAAGACACAGAAAACTTTTAACTGGCAAAGGAGTTAGCCCAACCCAGAAAGACGTGTCCTCCTTTTGTGAAGGTTGAAGGGCTTTTAACTAAAACTACAAACTGTCTTCTGGAAGATTAGCTGGCCCTCATTAGTTCACAAAGTCACGTAAGTATAGTTTGCCCAAGATCAGAGGACAGGCACTTAGGAAACGCGTGTCCAGTAACATTGTTACTTACCTGATACTAAATAACCTCTTCTAACTTGTGAATCAGTAGGTTGCCACGCACCCAATTAATGTTTGTTGAATGAATACATTTTCAGGATGGTTGACTGTATGGCTCTGGAATTGTAGGACTATATAGGAGGCGCAGACCGTGAACAGGTGTAGTTGACTCACCTGCGTACAAGCTCATTATTACTGGACATCAAACAAAGAGCAGCTATCATTGAGACGCTCATTTGCAGAGCTCAGGGGAGCTACTGCTGGTGAGGGAGTGGGGGAGATCCTCCAGTACCTTGCAGGCATCCGTTTCGTAAGTACAGGCACTTGCACGGGTCTACTTTGGAATTTTTGAGTTTTGATCTTTTCCTAGGCTAGTAATGTGCGATCTCTGGAGACGCTGGCCTGTGGCTCCGGGTCAGCTTTGCACTTCAGGTGGGAAAATGGATATTCTCCTGCACGCTGTGTTGCTGAGCTAGGGTGTTCGGTAGTTAGGTGTGTTAAATGCACTTTTGGCTTATGATATTTGCAAGTCATGATAGTTTACTGCTTGCAACCCCATCGAAGGTCGAGGAGCATGCATATTGATACATACTGTCCTAAGTAGCCCCCACCCCATCCCTCCAGGTATCATATCCTGGATGGTCAGTGTGGTGTCGGAGGAGGCACAGAAGCGGGAGGAACAGGGGCTAACCATTTGCACTGTGCGGTTATAGACAGCACTTACTAGCAGACACTGTCCTAGACTTTCAGCATGTGTTATCTTACTTACTTCTCATGCCTAGTTTATGGGGTTAGTGCTCTTGTTATGACCCCTATTTTACAGATGTAGATCCTAAAGGACAGAAAGACAGTTACCCCACACAAGCACATTCACTTAGCCCCAGGCTGTCTGATGCCAGAGCTGGCATTGTTGTGTGGAACCCAGGACCTTGTGCATGTTAGGCAAGCACTCTGTGTGCAAGCCACGTGCCCAGCCCCCTGAGCAGGGTTTGAATTCACTCTTCGAAGGAATCATGCGCATAGTTATAGGCACCATGGAGTCCCCACACCCTTATTTGCTTTTGGGAAGTTTCTGCTCTATATTTTTTGCTTTCACCTGTTTTTAGATGGGGATCTTACTATGTCACCGAGGTTGGCCTTGAGTTCCTGGGCTCAAGAGATCCTCCAGCCTCGGCCTCCCACATGGCTGGGACTACTGGCCACTCTGCATTTTTTTATAGCCAAGGAAGCCAAAGAAGTGATAGGAGTAGGTGCTGCTGAGCAAAGAGTGGCCTTGCTGGGCTGGCTCCCTGGACTGCTGACCCCTCATCCATTTCTTGCTCCGGGACGCGAGGCACCCCTCAGTGGAGGAATGACAGAGTCATGCAGGGCGCCATGGGGTACAGCTGAGGAGTCTTTGTCAGCTGAGATTCCCAGGAGCCCGTGAGTTGGGCTGCGGCATTAGCTCCTCTCTCCTCCCTTCCGCGGGCCACAGCAGCTGCAGAGGGAGTCCCACACTGGCACGTGGAAGAACCCCTGTTCTGGAGACCATAAAGACCCAGGGCCCCTGGCTCTGGGATCTGTCACACACTTCTGTGTGTCCTCAGGCACCTCCCAGACCCTCTCTGAGTTTTTAACCCCTCATTCAGTGACAGGGTTGGGCAATATGAGTGATTTTAGAAAAACGTATTTAGCCATGAGGTCTTTCAACAAGAAGACACTGAATCGCAATATGTATGTAAGGGAGTCTTTCCTCAGTGAAAAAATGAAGCGGCTTTCCTCAGTGAAGCAGCTCACTTAGGCAGAGAAATGCTCTCTTCCTCCTGAAACTGCACAGGCTTCTTCGGAACTCTAGAAAGGTGACTGGAAGAGAAAAGTGTTCCGAGTTTCTGCTTCTGGTGAGTGGAGGAGCTGGGTTGGGCTGAAAGGCGAGCTGCCCTTCAGGGGCTGCCCCGGGAAGGGCTACCGAGTTCTGTCTGGAAGGACGTGGCCCCACTTCCTGTGGCCCCCGTACCTGGCGTCCAGGTGTCCAGGTGGAGGTTGGAGGTGGCAGCTGGGGCTTCACAGGCCGGGGAGCATGCGGCTGCCAGGGAGGAGCTGGGCACACAGGGGTGGCTGCCTGCAAGACTGTGACTTGTGGCTGGCCTTGCACGTTGTCCCCCTGCACAATGCCGGCTTTCTCATTCCTCCTCTTCCTGAGTTCCCACTTCCCGCATAGACACAGCAGCTCAGGAGATGGCTTCGAGGGTCCAGAACCTTCTCGGTGCTTGTCCACTTCAGAGCATCCACCTGTCAGTCTGGCTTCTCCCCCAGGAAGCTTTCTGGATTGCCCAGCTGGTCCTGACTTCCTCTGAAGTTCCACACCACAGAAATTCATTTCCACGTGTCGCACTGGTAATGAGGGGGCCCAAGACTTGCTGGCTTTGGTTAGCGGGTGTGCATTTGCACATGGCGGGGAGGAGCTCCGAGGCAGGTCGTGTCTGGTGCCTGAAAGAAAGTTGCCGGCCTCCCCTCGATCAAGAAAATGCTGCAGGCGGTGGAGGACCAGGCCCCTTCAGTGACAGCCTCTAGCTCCCCCTGCGCGGGCCGTGTTCTTCAACTGTGAGTGGCAGCCCTGGTGAGGCTTCCTCTGCCGGGGAAGATCGGAGGACGGCTGAGCAGGAGTCGAGCTCTTAGCTTCCTCGCTTGCAAAGCTGAGATCAAGAAAAGATCTTTCTAGCGCAAGCAATGGGACCTGGGGGACTGGAGGTTGAGGCTGAACTGGCTCAAAGGGAGATCTTTCTGCAACCAGCCAGGGGTGGAAGTGGGTGGTCAGAGGCAGGTGACTCTTGTGTCCCCTGCTGGACCCTCAGAGCAGAGGCCTGTGCTGTTGCTAGACTGGCGAAGCCCACTTTATGCTTCTCTCCCAGACATAGCACAGTGTTGGGCCCTGAGAGTGACACAAGTGCCACCCCCCGCTGTAGTCGCACACGTCAGCATCTAACTGCAAACCATGACAGCTCACTCACTGACTCCTTTTCTGCCCTGAAGGGGGCCAGGACACACAACCCAGCAGAGGGTGAAGATAGGGAGCCCACAGACGACTGAGGTTTAAATTTCCCGCTGCCTGTAGAGATGGGGCAGATAGTGAGAGTCTATTTGCGGGAGAGGCAAAAGTGAAAAAAGCTTTCTGTGCCCCTGGAGAGGACCCTGGAGAGCTGGCGCACAAGCAGCTGCTCTGGGTTCCAGAGGCGAGGCAAGAGAATCTGGAGGAAGAATGAGTGTCGAGGCAGTCAGCACCTCACCAGGGTTCCCTTTTGGGTTTAAATAGTGTCTGCAGCTCTGGAAAGATAATGGATGGGCCTGTTCCACCACCAGCCACCTGTGGGCTGCCTAGGGCTGGCTTCTGAGGGCCGCTGTGCCTTGAGCTCCCAGAAGGGGGAGCATTTGGTGTGCTGTCCAGATGGCCAAGGCCAGCGGGAGGTGCCCGTCCCGGTACCACCCAGGCTTTTCTGTGGTGGAGCAGGGCCCGACTCCCAGAGGCATCTGGTGTGCATCCTGGCCCTTGGGCATTTCTGAGGCCGTCCTGCTGCACATGCCAAGCCCTGGAAGGTGGGCTGGACCCAACGACTGCTTCTAACCCACATGGACAGCTGTCACCCAGTTCAGTGTCTACACTGCCCGCCTTGATAACCTGCTCTGCCCACCACGCCCTAAGTGTGCTTATCTTTAACAGGAAGCCTGGAGGCGCATCACGGTAATCGCTGGGGCCAACCTGGGCTAGGAGGGTGGCCCGCACGGCCTGCCTGGACCGCACACTTCATGAGCATCTGATTTTCATGTGCAGTGACACCCCAGCAGCCCGCACGGTTCACCTTCCCACAGTAGTGACCAGGAAGGGCTGAAGCAGGGGAAAAGTCGGGCAGCGCCCTTCGTGGGCCACCGCAGACCCTCCCTCCCGACTCCGGGCCGTGGCCTGAGGCTGAAGTGTGGGCTGGGCCCCCGCTTTCCCCTTGGGTGTTGGATGCAGCTGGTGCTGTTGACACTGAACCTTGGCTTCCTGATAGGCCCTGTGAAGCCCAACAGGGAAAGGGCCTCCCTGAAGGGCCTCCACTCATCAGACGGGCACGTGCCTCATTGGGGAGGCAGCAAGGTGACGGATGTCACTTCCAAGATCGGGTCACCGCATGCTGGCGGCTCTGTCCTGCTCGGCCTCTCCAGCTCTGTCACTGGCCGTGAAGTGAGCAGACCCCTAGCAGGGGCTGAGGGAGACCCCGAGGGAGCGCAGACGCGAGGCCCCGGGTGGCCCTGCCTGTGAGCCCCTCAGCTGCTGGCAGCACCCAGTGTGAGCTGAGAGGCTCACTGTCCCCCAGCCGAGCCTTCAGGGGACCACAGCCCGGTGCTGTGGAGGGAGCCTGAGCTGGGGACCGACCCGCTGAGCTGGCCAGGCGCCTCCGAGGAGCAACATGAAGAGATGTGGGTCACTCTTTCTGCTCATCCCTGGCCACTTCATGGTGCAGCATGGGTCACTAACGCAGCTGTCAGCCTCAGTTTATCGCCCTGTGCATGGGGTTCACCAGACCACATCTCCCGTGGTTGTGCGGTCGCTTCCCCAAGCTCCCACAGAGGCAGTGTGGATGTGCTACAGCGCCCTCTCGCCGCTGCTGTCTGGACCGAATCAAGGTCTAACTGCCAACTCCGGCGCGTGCTGCGCAGGGAGAGGACGGGTGCTGGGGCAGCAGACAGCAGGGCCCTGGCTCCTCTGGGGGAAGGGCGGCCTGGCAGGGAGGCGAAGTCTGAGCCAAGGTCTGCAGAATGAGTCTCGGGAGGTGTCATCTGCGTGCTCCTCCTGTCTCTACCCCAGGAGTCTTGCTCCTAGCACTTGGTCACTTCCCGTGTAGCATTTCTCACAGTTCAGGACCGCTGCATGCGCCCTTTCCTCCTATTAGGTATCAGCCCTAAGAGGGCAAGGGCTAGGTCATCCACACCCAAGTATCGAGCTCAGTGCCTGGCACAGGAGATGCTCATGAAAACGCACTGAATGAATGAGCAGAAGCAAGCAAAGACTAAGGGACAAACCACTAGGAACTGGGAGGGGCCGGTCTTGCTAGAGCACAAGAGGAGGGAGACGACTTCAGGTCAGGCTAGAGAGGTGGCCAGGGTCGGATCACACAGGCACTGGGAAGGGGTTCTATTTAAGGGCAATAGGGAGCCATGGGAGAGGCCAGAGGGAGGGTGGATGTGATATCTTGAGAGATGTGTCTGGCTGCTATGACAATGAGTTGAGAGATTAAGGGTGGGAGCAGAAGTCCAGGAAGGAGGCTACAGTTGGGGGCCAGGCCAGAGAGGGTGAGGGTGGGGCGCGGAGATGGAGGGGCTCAGACTGCACTTGGTGGCCGGCTGCATGGGGAGAGGGCCCAGGGTGACGCGCGATCCCGCCTGACCACCAGGGAGAGCCGGAGCACCAAGACGGCGCAGTATCCCAGCCTGAACGCAGCCGAGGGCCCAGCGAGGTCCCGCATGCCAGCTCTGGGACCAGGAAAGGCCGTGCACTCAGGGCTCTATGATCCTAGAAGCCCTCGGGAGCAGCGCCAGGGAGGCTGCGATGGGGCTGGTGCGAAGGCTTCGGTGGGGCTGGTGGGGAGGCGGGGAGCCCTCTTCCAAGGCGGCTGTGTCTGCAGATAACGGGCGAGGTGGGTGTTTGCTGGGCTCCTCCGCCAAGGTCCCGGGGACCGGAACTGAAAGGGGCAGAAACGCAGAGCACTTCCTGGATCACCTATTTCATCAAAGACTTCTGCAGGGCAAAAGCATGATTTCTGTAGTAGAAGCAAGAGTTATAATATGCAACGCAAGTTCGCTTAAGTAACATTTTCAGGTGAGAGGCAAGACTGCGCACAAGTCATGGGCTGCCCTTCAGGCCCCTGAAGGTCAAATTCACGCGTCTCCACCAGTAGGGTGTTTGGAGAAAGTCTAAGGGGCTTTGATAGGAACAACAGCTCAAACTTGAGAGCAGCTAGAATTGAGCCCCGCACTTTTTGCTGTGCAAGCTTGAGCAAATTTCTGCACCTCTCTGAGCCAGGGCATCAGCTTCAGCTGCCCTTGAAAGACCTTGGCGCTCCAGGCCGACTTTGAGCACCTGCTCCTCTCAGACTGTCTGTTTGACCCTCCGCTTTTTACCGTCAGCTGCTGGAGAGTTGACAAGTGTTCATCTTCCAAGTGGCAGCATTTACGTAATTTCTTAGGTGAGATCACAGAAAATAGGAAAAGTAAAACCAATCAATGTGGGAATAAATAATCCCAGGGAGGCCCCTGCAGTGCACACCATGACTGCAAATCCACATTGTGTCATGGTCTAAAATCAACTTCTTGGAAACTCTCAGCGCTGCACTATATTACTCCACACGAAGAGGGCAAAAAGAAAAGAAAAAAATGAGTGTGTTGTCCCAGCCCACCTGCCAATGTTGTTTTGCTTTTTGTTGTTTTGTTGTTTTTGAGACAGAGTCTCCCTAAATTGTCCAGGCTGGCCTGGAGCTTGCAGTCCTCCTGCCTCAGCCTCAGGAGTGCTGTGATTACAGTCATATGCCAACCATACCAGGTCTCTACCCATCAATCTTACAGATATCCCAAGACCTTCCTTTGTGCTCGATCTTCCCAGATCTATTCCCAGAGTTTCTGATAATCTACCCAGGCCTTGTGAATGATTTTGTCACAGACAGAAACTTAGCTGTTCGCATACAGACACACACACACACACACACACACACACACACACACACACACAGTTTCAGCTGCATCTTGGGGCCTCGCCTGTGAATCTGTCCCTTCCCATCCCAGCCAACCCAGTTCTATGTTTTAAGGGCCACTGGGGCTGGAAAGGACCCTGTGAGTCCCAGACCGAGGTCTGCCAGCTCTTATGTTCAGCCACCATGTTCAGCCTGGGTCCAGAGGCCCCTGCTCCCTTGCTTCTGGGCAGCAGTGCTGGGGACTGGTGACAGCACTGCTGTACTTTGTGCTTTGTGATGCTGCGTAGCTGGGACGGAGGGAATCACTCTTCCCCCAGTGATCCGCCGAATAATGCGTGGACCCACGGCCAGCACAGTAGGGCTCATCTTTGGGGCTACTGAGGAGGCAGCTTGTTCTGGGAAGTAGTGTGGCCCCAGGTATTCACCACACCTGTGCGTGGGACTTGGCTGACCCAAAGGTCAGGTGCTGGCAAAGATCCCTCTGCACCCTCTACCGCATGTCCCTCACTTTTGGCTTCTCCAATTTCCTTACAGTTTTCACTTAGAGAGTCATTCCTTTTCTTAAGACTCTCATTCATTCATTCATCATTTACTCCGAGGCTGTAACAATGTGCTCACCCAGCACACATTTACTGAGGGCCTGTTCTGTGCTAGCCTGCGCCCTGGGTGCTGGGATGTGTGGTCAAGATGAACCTTTGAGTATTCAAGCTGGGGCAATAAACGTCCAAACAACTAAGCGATGACCAACAGGCAGGTGCTCTGAGGGTAGAGCCAGTGTCACCGCAGTGCACGCAGCCTGCCATCCTGGAAGGTCCATTTCTCCTGGAGGGCGGTGCCTGGCTTAGCTCAGAGCCGCACAGTCAGGCCAAGGGAGCGTATGGGTGGCCTGGTATCTTGTGAGAACGCAGCCTCTGCCTCCCTCCCAGACCCTCACTCAGTGTCACTGACGTGGGTCCCCAGCCGCCCTTTGCGTAGCGGGGACCCGCAGGAGCACACGCCCACTTCCTCTGCCTGGGAGCTGCTACCCGGGCCTGAACGTGAGCTGTGACTCGCTTCGGGCACCCAGTGCGTGTTACGCCTTGTTCACTGAGGTGGTTAACAGGGACGGAGTTCAGCTCGGAGCGCCTGCACTTCAGTTCACGTCCCAGCCTGACCTCTCAACTGGCTACGTGACCTGGTCAAGCCACATGGCTACATTAGGCTGCGGCTTCCTCCTGTAAAGGGAAGCTAGGAAACCAGTGCTTCCTGGCACTTGGGTTATGAGGACAGTGCAGTGAGTGGCAGTCCTCAGGCACCCCAGCAGGAACCTCGCTCATCTGCTCCAGTGCTCCCTTCCTACCTACTGTGGGCCCCCCAGTGACCATGGGAACACAGCCCTGACTTCCGGATGAGCAGGTGCCAATCTGGGGCTTCCTGTCCCTCTGTTGTCACCTCCCCCCAAGCCCAGGCAGCCCTGCGGGCCCCAGCATGGGCGCTGCACCTGCCCCTTTACTGCCGCAGGCGGTCTCTCAACCCCTCAGGTAGTGACAGAAACAGGAGGCAAAGCAGGTAAGGAAGCCGGTTGGTCGTGATGCCTTGGCCGGGAAGGCGGCCGTCAGGACAGGCTGGAGCACTCCGAAGCCTGGCCACTGGGAAAGGGGGTCCTGGGGGACGTGGCCTGGTTCATTGGCCACTTCCTGAAGGGCCTGGGATGCTTTCTCAGGCTCTTGTCCCTGAGGCTGTCCCCTGCCCAGCACACCCTGGGTTCTGTGAGCAGTGAGATCATCCTCACGGTCTCCATCTTGTCCAATATAAATGCCTGGGAAGGAAATGTCTCTCACCTGACAGTGCTTCGGCCCCGGGATGCCACTTCCCAGGGGACAAAACACCGTCAAAGCTTGGCCTGCATCTCAGCTCTCACCAGGGGCCTGAGCAAATTGAGGCCCGGTGAGGGTGTGACTTCTCTGAAGTTGCCCAGCCTAGGAGGGGCAGAAGCAGAGGATGAGGTGTCCAGACCCTTGGATCCTTGTGTGACTTCCTGAATGTGGCCGGCAGCCTCTTTTCCCTGCTTCCTCTGAGAAGTCCACCCTCCCGTGTCCAGCCTGCCCCTCTGAGGGTCATGCATTTCTTAAGCCTTTGTCTCTCCCCATCTCCAGCTTTTTACCTAGCACAATGCTGAGCACATGTGGGAGACTCGTGGGTGCTGGCCGAGTGCTGACAGATGTTTACCCAGAGGCCTACTGTGATGGATGTGGGGACCCTGGGGACTCCCTCACATCGTTTCTTTCCTTTTCTTGGAAAGAGGGGCGGTGTGGGTCAGAGCCCAGGGCAAGCTCAGGCTGCTGTCGGCTGGGGGGAGCCCGAGGCTATCAGCCCATCTTACCTGAATCAGGTCCAGCTGGGAGAAGAGGCCCATGCCCGTGGGGATGCCATGGGCCGGAGGGCAGCACTGCTGGGCCATGTTGTGGATGGCCACTTGCATGTAGCTGAGCAGCCGGCCCTGCGGGAGAACAAAAGCTCAGGCCCCTCCCAGCATCCCCCGCTCCATGCCCTGTTCCCAGCTCACACAGGCGGAGAAGTGTCCTGGGGCCAGGCCAGGAGCCTTGGTCCTTCCCAGTCTGTATTCTGCTCCCAGTGCTTGAAAGAGGCCTGCATGCCCTCCCCTGCTAAGAGAGAGGCCCGGTAAACACGTCTCAGGGGGTCCTCTTCTCTGGGAACATCTGTGGGCCTCCTCCGAGTGGGCCAGGCAGGCCCGTGGCTCCCCCTCCAGGCAGCGCTGGAGCCTTACACTTCAGACCTCCACAGTCATGGCCTGAGAGCCAGTTGTGGCCGCCTTGGCTTTCCTTTAGGAAGAAAGACACAGAGGGACCACATCCCCTTGGAAGCCCCTTGGATAGAGACCAGCAGCCCCCACCTTCCTGTATCCCACAAAGCCTAATCCCACTGGGCCAGGTCAATCTGAGCCCAAAGAGGTCCTGAAGTCCCTCAGTGACCGCATCCTGCCCAGGGGAGGATGCCTGGCATAGCTCCCAGCCCTGGGTCTTGGTCTCCAGAGTCCTCAGCAGTCTCCAAAACCGGAAGGACACAGGGTCTGCTGAGAAAGCTGGGGCTCCAGGATGACCAGACCCCTTCCTTGGCCAGTCGGGGCAGTGCAAAGCTTAATCTGAAGTCCTGGCCTTGGTGGGGGCATTGGCCCTGTGCTCCACATGGCCAGGTCATGATCAGAGAGATGCCAGAATCACCAAAGACATGCATGTCACTCGCCTGGGGCCCTGGCATCTTTTCATTACTAACCAGACACACTGTACAGCGTTTGACTGAGCACCCAACATGCTGCCAGCCCTGGGTCTCAGGTCTCAGCTCTGGTTCTTGGCAGAGCTCCGTCTTTAGCTACCTGAGCCTTCCGTTTTCTCATCCGGAAGGTCCTGCCCACGACTAGCATAGTCACCACACTCATTTCAGCTCTGGCTTAGAGAAGCCTGTGACAGCAAACAGCCCACGACTAGCATAGTCACCACACTCATTTCAGCTCTGGCTTAGAGAAGCCTGTGACAGCAAACAGCCACGTCTGTGTGACCATGTGTGTGGTGTCTGTGTATCTGTGTGCATACGTATGTTGTGTGTGTGTGTGTGTGTGTGTGTGTGTGTCAAGGTGATGCTACTAACGGAGGCTGCAGCTCCCAGATCCCCCATACCCAGCTCACATTGTGGCCTCCAGGGTGGGCGTGTGTGTCAAAGCCTGGGCTGTTCTGGTGGGCCATGCCGGCTTGCACCTGCCTCCACTGCTCCTGCTTGTGGTGACACTTCTTCTGCAGCTGACACAGCCGGATCTTGAGGCTCTGCGGCGAGTGGGTTGGGTCATCCCAGGGCACCCATCTGCCTGCAGGAGCTGCCTGAGTGGGGGTGGCTGCAGGGCCAGAGAGGGAGGACGGGTTCTGCCCAGGTCCACTGCTGCTCACCAGAGCCGGAGCCAACAGCAGGGTGGACACAGCCTTGGGACTGTGTGAGGACGCCCTGGACTGCGAATTAGGAAGATGTGGGACAAACACAAGTGACCTCTCTTCTCTGAGGTTTCCTTTCCTCACCGCAAAAATGGGAAGAATAGTAAGGCTGAGTCTCAGGTGGGAAATTAAAGGGGGCCTCGGCAGTTAAGATAAGTAATACTTCATGCAGTGTTAGGTCATTAACATTCACTGAGTGGGGAGGCCCCTGGAGGGACGACGTCAAAGCTCTCAGGAAGGACAGGGTCCTGCCCACAACTAGCATGGTCACCACACTCGCCTTCCTCCGAGTCCTGCTTCCAGGTACTGGAGATTCAAAGGCCACAGACTCCTAAACTGCTTCTCACAGGGTCCAGCCCAGGAGTGGACCTGGTTCTTGGAAGGGGAAAAAGCTGCCAAATGGGGTAGTTTTGCAGACTTGCCACTAGGGGGCAGCAACTCTCCAAACATCATGCCGGGGTCCCAGGGCCCGCAGACATCAGAATTCCAGGCCTTTGCTGGGAAGGGTCCCGCCCCTCTATCTGGAATGTGCAGCCTACAAAAGTTCTATACATCATGGGATTTCTGAGCTTTTTTGTGTTTTGCAGTCGTGGGGATTCAACCTAGTGCTTTGCCCATGCTAGACAAGCTTCCTACCACTGAGCCAGGTCCCCAGCCCTTTATTTTATGTTGAGACAGGGGTCTCCCTACGTTGCCCCTACTAGCCCAGAATTTGTGATCCTCCTGCCTCAGCCTCCCACGAAGCTGGGATTGCAGGTATGTGCCACATGCCTGCCAGTGAGACAGTTCTGTGGTGTCTCACGAGAACCCTAACAGGTAGGATATGTTGTGTGTTATTTGACAAACGAGGAAATTGACGCTCAGAGAGGGCACAGATGCCTCTCACAGCTTTTCAGTAGCCAAGCAGGGACCAGAACCCCAGTCTTTCTGAACCCACAGCTCTTAGTTTTTCTACTGTGCACAAAGGCAGTCAGCAGTGAAGGAGAGGGGACCCAGGGGACACAGGGCGGGGTCTGGAGGGACCTCCCACTGAGACTCTCCCTGCCAGGGGACGTCCAGGTTGCAGGTGGCTCTCACCGGCAGGAGGGCCTTGCGGCTGTCCTCTAGGGACTCCAGTGCCTCGTGCGCTGCCCGGGTCATCTGGCAGAAGGCGTCCAGCTGCTTCTGGGCTTCCCTGCTGGCCGTGAGGAGCTTCCCGTAGCGCCGCACCAGGGCCTCCAGCCCGGCTGCCTCGGGCTTCTCTGCATCGCTGCAGCCTGAGGGGAATGGGGCTTGGGTGGGTGATGCCGCGGCTGGGAATTCTGCCGGAGCCCTGGGCTGAGGGGCAGGTGATCCTGCCCTCGGGCTCTGAGACAGCGCCTGGTGCCTCCCCCGACCCCGGGAGAGGCAGGACATTGATAAGTTCGCTGGTGGCAGCTGAGAACCCAGATTCTGGACCTAGGCTGCAGGTGAGGAGGTGGGAGACGCCCAAGGGCAGCAGCAGATTCTGACTCCCAGGGGAGGGCGGAACTGGTGACTCATTTTGGGTGAGTCAAATAGGGCTGAGCCGCTGAGTCAGGAAGGCCCCAAACTGGAGGCCACAGCAGCTGGATCCAGGGTCACTTCAAGGCCCACACTTGGCTGAGGGCCCTCTGCTCTCCCTTGGCTCGGCACTCAAGGCCACCTCAGCAGCCCTGCCAGCTCCAGCGCATGCGCCCACCCTGCTATGGTGGCCAAGCAGGGCGCTCTTCCCTCTCCTGCAGCGCCCTGCCCTTTGCCAAGCTCACTTGAGCTCCTGAGAAGTCACCTCCTCTCTGAAGCCTCTCCTGACCTCTAGGACAGAGTCGAGGCTCCCATAGCCCCTTGGCAGGCAGTAACACCTTTATAAAACCAAGCTCTGTGGCTACGAGGTCAGATAGACCAGATGCTGAGACACAGCCCCGTGGCCTCCTGACCGGGCGACCTTGAACAAGTTCCTTACCCTCTCTGAGCCCAGGTAACACAGTGAGCAGAAGCTTGGAAGGATATAAAAAAGCTGGCTGAAGAGTTTGGCACAGAATAAGTATCTAATAAATGGTAATAATTATTCCTATTTTTTATGATGTTAAACTAATAATGATGATCGTAAAATGTCTTTTTGTTTGTCCTTCCTTTTTCTAATGAGCTGGAGGCACTTTTAACAGCCAGCTTGGGCACAAATTATGACAAGACAAAACAAAACAAAACAAAACACTAAAACCCATTTCAGTTTTAGTGTTTATTAAATAATAGCAAAACCAACCAAAAAACCATAGATGAGCAAAAAACACACTTGTCCCACAGTATGGGTGGGAGTGGTCTCAGGGATGCCCCATCCCTGTCTCGGTTACTTTTCTCTTGTTGCTGGGACAAAATACCTGACATCCAAAATTAAGGAAGGAAAGGTTTATTCAGCTCACAGTCTGTGGAGGTTTCAGTCCGTACTTGGCTGGCTCCAAGGCAGGGTGGCACATGGCAAAGGGCAATCATTCATAGCGGTGGATGATAGCAAATACAGCCAGAGCAAAAGGGGAGGAGTGGCAGCAAGCAGGCTCTTTCTCTCTCTTTCATATGCAAACTGCCTACCCCAGGGTGGGTGTAGCACTCCCACCCATAATTCCAGCATTGGACCATGGATGGATCATAAACTCTAAAAGCCCGCCCCATGACTGCATGTGTCTTTGGGGGGACATCCAGACACAAACCATAACACACCAATCTCCGTAACCCCAACAGGCTCAATCCCTCTCTGAAAAGGTGCGGAGTTTAGAGAGAACCTACCTGACCCCCATGTGCTTTAAACGTCCCTCCGTGACTCACGGTGCCCAGCACACTGTCACCGTGGTGTTGGTAGTTTTTCTACCACACTGGAAAATGGCAGGAAGAAAAACTGTGCAGCACAGGTGCGAGTTTGTTTTTCGCAGATGTTCAATCCAAGGCTGATGGAACCTGCAGACTCGGATGCAGGGGTGACTGCAACCGTCATCGTGGCTGACTTACTGGAGCTCAATGCCAGGCACAACACTCTGTGCTCATACCGATGGATGGGTTTATGCAGCCCCCACAGCTACTGCGCTCATTTTACAGAGAAAGAAATCAAGACCCTGAGGCCCCTCAGAGCCCACTTGGTTGTCAGGTTGTGTTGGGTGGGGAACCAGGCAGCCTGATTTGGGCACCTGTGTCCTTCTCAGCTACAATAGTGTCGCTTTGTGTGTCCTCGGGCTGCAGATGAGCAACTCAGACTCAGTGAGGTCACGTGCTGTGTCCCAGCATGGAGGGGACAGGCTTTCTGGGAAGCCACGTACCTTTGGGGATTCTCTCTAGGACCTTCCTCAGATAGTCTGCGAATGGCTTGTATCTCTGTAGCTCTCTCTCCAGCTTTCTCTGCCTGTGGAGTTGAGACACGGTGAGAACCTGGTATGGTGAGAATCCCACATGGCCCCAGCCTGGGCCACCCTCCACAGACCTCCTGCTTAGGCCTGTGCTGGGCCGGCCATTTGCTACCTATCAGACTGCCACTGACTGACAGTCTTACTGGGGACAGTCTTACCTGCCCCTGTCTTACTGGGGAGCAAACCGAGTCACATACAGGTCAAATGATTTCTGGTGTTCAGGCAGCAAAGGGGGAAATGCAGACAGTGAGGACCAGGTCCTCTCAGTGTCAGAGTCTCCTATGTCCCTCCTGGAGGGGGATAGGTGGTGGCCAAGGCCACCCAGCAGGCAGAACACCCCTCCCAGCTGGTGACCGGGGCCCGATGCTTCCCTTTGTCCATGTGGGGCTGGCAGCCTGCGCTCAGGGGCTGTGAGACCCTCCCACAGCTGGCAGGGACACACACGGGTACCCATCACATCGCGAGGCTCAGCCTGAGGCCGGGCACTCCCCAAGCCCCTGGCTTGACTCAAGGACAAGGAACCCCCACACCGTGCCCAGCAGGCTGCCTACCCTGGGCCCAGTCAAGGTCAGAGCTCAAGGGCAGAGGGAAGAGGCGGGCTGTGCTGGCCTCAGCCTGTCCACACCCTCTGACTGCGCCAACAGGGGCCTGGGTAGGATCGCTGAGCAATTGCCAAGTGACCCGGAGCAAGCCGCTGCATTCTTAGTCGATAAACCTGAAAAACTCAGGTCTTTCTCACAAGTACTGTGGAGGCCGCAGCCATGGGCCGCAGTTACGGACCACAGCAGCGCCGCTCATCCCGGGATCAGAAGCCCCCTGAGGTCTTCACAACAAGGCTGGATCTTGTTTCCTAACACTGCTCAGGGACCCACCTTTTGCACCAGCTTCAGACTTTTACAGGTGGCCAGTAATTTAAGTCCCTTCTAAGTGGGGTGAGGGCCCAGGGTCTCCACTCAGAGCCAGGGCAGCAGAAACAGACTGACTTCAGAGGCCCCGTGCTGATGGGGCACAGGGACAGCCCCCCAGAGCCCCTCCTTCCCGATGAGGACACGCAGCCCCAACAGGCCTGGGAGTGGCCCCAGACGTGAGGTCAAAGGGGAGCTGAGACTGCAGGATGACGGCCACGCCACTGGCCTGTCCCCACAGCCACCCCACGGCCAGGGTTTTCTTCCAGCCATCCCACCGCTCTTATCTACTTTCTTGGCCTGGTCTCCTCTGGGGGCAGTTTTGCTTCATCCCAGTCACTTGGGGTAAAGGCCAGGGTAGGGGACAGTAGGCCTGGCACAGCTCATACTTGGCCTGAAGGTGGCAGAGTTGGTGCAAGAGCATCTTCAGATCCCTGTCCTTGTCACCAGGGTCGTTCGGGCCAGCTCTTTGGCCCGTGTCCACGGCCAGCAGCATTGATCCTCACGGTTCCAGGCTGCGTAGGAGGTGGGTAAGCCGTGCAGGAGGCAGGTGGACCTAACCGGACAGTTGCAGAGGCAGCTTCCTCTCTGGATCCTCTCTGTAGCCCTCTGACGTCAGGATGTGCACTCTACTTCACAGCAAAGAAAGCAGAGTCTCAGCAGCTGTGACCAGCTCAAGGTCATAGAGCAGGCCTGACTTTGGACTTGGGCTCATTGATTTCAAAGGTCAAGGCCTTTGAGATGGATCCTCACCACCCCAGTGCTACAGCCCCATCACCTCTAAATTTTAGTTACCAGGCACCAAGATTCTGGGAGGGCTTCCAACAGGTGCTAGTTTCCGGCAACATCTGGGAAAGAACCATGGGGTCATCATACTCTGTCCACCCGCGTCCCACCCACTGCAAACTCTGAGCTCACGCAGGGCTTAAAGAGCTGGACTGGACGCTGACAGAGACAGTGAGCAAGGTCATGGCCAGCCTTAGGGGTGGTCCAGCTGGCAGGGAGTCCATCACAGCCTTGCAGCTCAGTTCCTGGGCCCCTGGCCCACTGCAAGACCTCCCCTCCCTGGCCATCTGCAGGGTCAGCCCCAAGGTATGAGGAAGCAGAGTGAGAAAGTGAGGCCGCGGGCCCAGCCTGTCTGACCTCAGCCCAGGACACACGTTCCTATGCACCAGGAGGAGGAAGGGGCCCTGCTGACTCACCCACTGCTCCAAGCACAAAGCCACAGATGGGCTGTGACATCACAATGCTGGTTTCTGTCCTCAGGATGTGTCTGTCTTGCACACCCTGCCAGGCCAGTGGGATTTGGGCTGCCCACAGGTGGGGCATGAAGGAAAGGAAGTGCACAGCGCACAGGAGCTGGCTGCTGGGGCGGGTGGGCAGAGGGCTTTGGGGGAATGGGGACACTGTGAAGCCAGGTTAGGGTTGGGCAGAGTGAGGATGACAACCTGGCCTGTTGCTTCCGTGGCATTGCTTAGTGACTTTGCTCCCTGCAGGGACTCTCAGCAACCTCTTCCAGCCCTGGTGCAAGGGGCAGCAAGATTCAGAGTCTAAGGGCCAGGAAGCTGTGCTGGGCTCCTGCTCTGGGCCCAGCCTGGTCCAGCCCCCCACCCCATCTTTGCCTTGCACAAGGGAAGGCTCCCCACTCAGAGTTGGGGAGCCACCCATGAGGGTCCTGGGGTGCTCCAGGGCCAGGTCTGGACCAGGTCTCCTGTGCCAGGGCCCTCTTAGGAGAGAGACAGAGGCACAGCTTTGGCTCCAGGCCCACAGAGGAGTGGGTAGCGAATTGGTCCCTACAGGAGTGACATGCAGCTTCCTGCCTCAGCCTCCAACTTCCTGCAGTGTCTTGAGGGGTCATTCTCCCTAGTTGAGGGATGGGAAGGTGTTCTCTGACCTGGGAGCCAGGTCTAAGGGAAGCCAGGGACATGATCATTCCTCTGATCCCCAGAGCCAGAACCTTCCCCGGGAAGAATCTCCACTCACAACAGAGGCTTTCAGGGACCTGGGTTCAAGTTTCGCCATCCGCAGGCCATGTTACCTCCCTGCTCTGAACCTCAGTGATGGAATCATCTCCCTGTAGCATCTTTCCTGTAGTCACAGGAAAGACTGTTCTATTGCCTAGGCTCTACCTTCAGTAGCACCATGCTGGGGACCATGCCTTTAACACATGAGCCTTTGGGAACATTCCAGACTCAAGCTATGGCATTGAAAGTCATCAATTTCTGCCTTGAAGGACAATAAGCACATGTATGTGTCACCAGCACCTCTTTAGTCATGAGTTGTCTGATCTTGGGTGGGTCTCTTAGTCTTGCTGAGCCTCAGTTTCTTCCTCTGAAAAATGGGCTTGACTATACAGTAGATTCTCCTTATATCTGGAAAATGCATTCCAAGACCCCCAGGGGAGGCCTAAACCTACAGACAGTACTAAAACCTATTTGGCTAATATTGTTCCCATACATACCTGTGATACAGTTCCTTATAAGTTAGACATAGTAAGTGATTAATATATAGTAAGTAAAATAGTAAGTGGTACAGTAATTCAGTGATTTTATAACTAATAATAAAGTTAAACAGTTATAATAGTTATATATGACCAATAGGTGGGTAGCATATACAGCATGGATACCCTGAACACAGGGATGATTCACATCCTGGGCTGGAAGTAGTGATGTCTTAGTTAATTTCTTGTCACTGGGACAAAACACCCACCACCCACCACTAAAAGGAAGAGAGGTTTCTTTTGGCTCATGGGTTTTAGAGGATTTGGTCCATAGTTGGCCAGCTCTATGGAAGGAAGGAAGGGCATGGTGGAAAAGTCTGGTGGAGGGCAGCTTCTCACATCATGGTGACCAGAAAGCAGAGAATGAAAGGAGGCTCCTGGGAAGGAAATGAACCCTTCTGTATCACATCCCCAGTGACCCACCTGTAACCAGGTCCCACCTCCCAATAGCAAACCAGACATGGAATCATCATGGACTGATCCACTGGTAAGTACAGCGCCCCATGATCCAATCACCTGCCACACACATTAGGCTTTTGGGAGACTCCCCAGACCTAAACTACAAGTGAAATGGCACAAGATTTCATCACATTGCTCAGAAGAATGGCACAGCACACAATGTAAAACTTAGGAATTATTCCTGGAATTTTCCACTTAGTAATTTTGGACCTGAGTTGATCATAAGTAACTGAAACTGTGGATGGGGTGTGGGGCAGTACTGTAGACCTTATCTCATAGAGCTGTTGTGGAGATTCAGTTAGCACATGTCCATAAAGCACTGTGCATCAATTGCTAGTATTGTCACGCTGCATTGTGTGGGTCTGCTGCCATATCCAGCACTTATGGTTACTCTCGGGTCCACAGCCATTCTGATTGAGCCCAGGTCCTCTCTTGAACACTCTCCAGCCCATCCAGGAAAAGTGCTGGCCAGTTCCATGCGGGTCTTGCAGGCTTGCTTTCACCCCATGCACCAGAGCTCCCCTCTTATAGCCCACAAGAGGGCGACTCTGCACTTTCCAAAGCCTCCTGTGGGACCACCAGAACCCGGGTTGACATTCCATCTTTTCAGCATGGGGGAAGCCACGCCTACCCCTGGGGAACAAGCTGCCTGGAGCTGGGGCTGAGATTCCCCAGCTAGAGTGGCTACTGCCAGCTCCCTGGGTGGCCCAGATTCTTTTCTTTTTATCATTTTTGTAGGAATCCTGAAGTTCCTAAAAATGCTGCAGGTGGTGGGAGAAGGCAGTGAAGGAGACCAAATAGGAGCTATGATTAGCAAGCGGGGAGCCAAGAAGTCCTGTGCTTGGGAAGCCAAGGCAAGAGGGAAGAAAAGAGGTGGCTGGATCAGATGCCCAGTGTCTTAGTTACTTTTCTCTTGTTGCTGAGACAAAATACCCAATGCCCAAAATTAAGGAAGGAAAGGTTTATTTAGCTCACAGTTTGTGGAGGTTTCAGTCCATAATCAGCTGGCTCCAAAGCAGGGTGGTGTGGCAGAGGAGCAACAATTCATGGTGGTGGAAGACAGCAAAAGCAACAAGACTAAACAGGGAAGAGTTGGGGAGCAAGCCTCTTTCCCTCCCTTATATTGTACGCAGGATCCTTGCCCCGGGGACGGGGTGCAGCACTCACACCCATAATCCCAGCATTGGGTCAGAAATCAATTACAAACTCTATAAGCCTGCCCCATGACTGTATGAGGCTTTGGGGGAACATCTAGACATAAACCATAACACCCTGCAATTTCCTCCAAAGTCCCTGGGCTGGAACACCCTGACCAGTCACACTTGTGAATGTGTTCCCTTTCATGGTGACAGGGATTTTGTGCATGTCTAATTGGAGTTCTAAATGCGTCACTTACCTGTATGTCAAATTCTTTTTTCATATTTGGGAAGTTTTCTGCCGTTACTTCTGTGAACAGGATTTTTTAATGTTGTTTGCACAATCTCATGCTTTTCCATTTACTCCTATCAATCTTATGTTATTCTTCTTTGCATCATCTAGCATCTGTTGGATTGATTTTTCATGGTCCCTTGCTATTTTTAAGAAATTTTTCTTTTCATTATTGCTAACCACAATCCTGCCTTCAGTATCTGATATTCTGTCATCACACTGGCTCATTCTGTTACATATACTTTCAATGGAATTTTTAATCTCCTGGATATCTGTTTGAATCTGTTTCATGGATTCCATTCTTTCCTATGTTAGGCATTTATGGTTTCCACCATTTTCCTAAGCTCCTCTATTTTTAAAATCTGTATCTGCTTCAGAGTCACTACGTCTTTCATTATGGTCACCATCTCTGTAGTTATCTGATAAATTATTTCTAATTTGATTTTTTTCTAGAGCTTCATATATCTTCTTTGTTACTTCCATTGTTATCACTTCAGAGAGGTGGGAGGCTTTCAGATTATCCTACCTCATTAACCCCTGGATTTGCCGTTAGTGAGCTGGGAGTCTGTGGTTGCATCTTGCTCACATGTCTTCTTTTTCTTTTTCTTTTTTTTTTGGTTTTTCCTGGGTTGATGCTTGTAAATTTACTTATGGGAGGTAGCTTTATTGCTAATATTTAGAACACTTAGGAAATGACTCTTTCTCAGAGATATCTTCCAGGTGTAGATGGTTTTGAATTTTGAGCCTGTTGCAAGATCCCACCTCTTCAGTTTACTGGGGATAAGAAGATGCTGACTATTTGATCTAGCTCCTGGTTCTTCAGCGCTGGCCTATAGTACTGTTTACAACCCTTAGGCAATCTCAGTCTTGGTATACCAGGAAGAACAACTGATTAGAACAATTACTTGGCTAAAGTAGTACAATCAGCAATGATAGCATTAAACACAGCCTAAAAGATGTCAAACTGTGGCAACTATTAATTTGCCACCTTTAACCATATGAATTATATTTATGGTTATACAACAAAATCTAAAATAAACCAGAAAATTGTATATAGTAAATATACCTTAAATATGGCAATTTTACCCTCAGGGGAGAAAAATTTAAAAGAAGGTAGGGGAGAAAAGGAGAAGTAGAAGAGGAAGAAATTAGAAGTGAGGCAGGAGACAAGGGAAGACTAGGTAAACTTTGGGAAACTGGTGAAGAAGATTAGAGGGAAAGAAAGAAGAAATAAAAGCAAGAACAGAACAATGATAACAAGAAAATGAGAAGGAATATTTACACTCATATAAAAACAAGAACAAACAATCAAGAAAACAAAACAAATAAAAAAAACAAAGACAAATGAGAAAAGAAAAAAGTTCATTTCAGGGTGTGTCTCTTGTGTCACTGGTAGACAGAGTGGGCAGACAGAGCCCAGATTTGTGTTGATTAATCCAAGCAAGCCAGCAGTAGATTTATGGCAGGGTAGTGGATAATCCCAGCAAGCCTGCATTTTTAGTTCCAGTGAAGTTCAGATTGATTTCTGGCTTTGAGGGTGGAATCGAATTTGTTCAGCCTGCAATATTCCATGTATCTCCTATTGTTTTGAACTCAGCTCCCTGCGGGTTTCAACGAGGCTCTTTGACCTCCTGCAGACTTGAACTTTGTTCCACCTCACCCTGACACTGGGAGCCACTAGATGGAGCCAGTCTGAAGCTGCTTTGAGTTCTGAGCTCAATTGGCCCCTCTCTGAGATGGCTATGGGCCAATCACCTTCTCCTAGGGAATGCCTGAACTCAAACTCACCAGCCACTGCAGTCTGTTGTTTGC